AAGGTATAGGTACTAATGAGAATAAAGAAAATGCATTTAGTTGGTATCTAAAATCCGCCAAAGGTGGAAATTCAGAAGGACAAGATCGTCTTGGACTCTGCTATGAAAAAGGTATAGGTACTAATGAGAATAAAGAAGAGGCATTTAAATGGTATTTAAAATCTGCTAAAGGTGGTAATTCAGAGGGACAATATCATCTTGGATTCAGTTATGAAAAAGGTATAGGTATTAATGAGAACAAAGAAGAGGCATTTAAATGGTATTTAAAATCTGCTGAAAGTGGTAACCCCGAAGGGCAATATAATCTCGGACATTGTTATGAAAATGGAATTGGGGTTGAAAAGGATAAACATAAGGCATTTACTTATTACAAAAGATCTGCTGATATGAACCACAAGAAAGGATTGGTTAAGATGGAAAGTTCTGATGGAATGCTTTATATGGGAGTTTTTTATGAAAATGGTATTGAAGATGAAAAGGATAATTATAAAGCATTTACTTGCTATCAAAGATCTGCAAACTTAGGAAATGTTGCTGGAGCATATTGTCTTGGTTATTGTTATGAATACGGGATTGGAATTGAAAGGAATGAGCATAACGCATTCAAATTTTATAAAAAATCCGCTAATCTAAAAAATGGTGATGGAATGTATCGTATTGGCATTTGTTACCAAGATGGAATTGGAGTTAACAAAGATGATCGTAAAGCGTTCACTCATTATGAAAAATCAGCGAAGATGGGAAATATTAATGGAATGTATGCTCTTAGCAATTGCTATAAAAAAGGAATTGGAACATCAATAGATTTACAAAAAGCTGATCATTGGCATCAAATGTAAATATCATTTTTTAATATGCAGTATTATACTCAAAATTTTTTAAATAATATTTGATACTATGTTTAATAATGAATTAGGGGTGAAAACTCATCATCAGGTAATTGATTATCGCTGAATTTGATTGTTATTAATATAAAAATTTAAAAAAAACACCGCATTCTGTTAGATACAAGTGAAGAAATGAAAATTTTTGATATAGATGATGATTTAAAAAGAATATTAGGTGAAGTTAAATGTAAATGGATTCCTTATAATGAATTTGAAATTATCGAAAAAATAGGGCAAGGCGGATTTGCAACAGTATTTCATGCAAGGTGGAGAGATCAAAATAGCTTAACAAGAGAAGTTGCACTTAAAATATTTAATGACCCTGAAAATTGTCATAATGGATTTATGAACGAGGTAATTTTAATTTATTTTAATAATTTATTAATTTTTTATTATAATTATCTGATATCTTTTTGAATAATTAAGCTAAATGCATATTGTTCTATGAGCGATGAAAATCCTACATCTTTAAAATGCTATGGTATATCAAAAGATGATAATTCTAAAGATTATATTCTTGTTATTGAATATGCACCAAAGGGTTCTTTGCGTGAAAATCTACACGAAGTAGCACAAATGAAGTGGAAAGACAGATGTAATATATTACTTGACATTGCCTTTGATCTTGAGAAAATTCATTCTAAAAACCTTATTCACAAGGATTTACATAGTGGCAATATATTGCTTGATAAGTCAAATAATGTTTATATTGCAGATTTAGGACTATCAGCTCAGGCTAATAAAGAATCTGATATTATTTATGGAATTATACCATATATGGCTCCAGAAATTTTTTGTAAGCAACCATTGACAACGGCAGCTGACATATACTCGTTTGGTATTATAATGTGGGAAATTTCATCTGGAAAAATTGCATACTATAATCGAGAAGAATTTAAAGAATCTCTTGTGCAAGAAATATGCACAGGTCTTCGTCCGAAATTTGCAAAAGAAACACCAGACATTTACGTTAATTTGGCAAACCACTGCATGAACGCAGATTCATCTAAACGCCCTTCAGCAAATGAAATTATAAAAGTTTTATACACGTTAACAGATGATTACTGTATAAATTTTTTCAAAAAAGCCGATTTAAATATAAAAAAACCTGAATCTGAATCTTCAAAAAATGATGACATAATTACATCATATAGAACATACAAATTAATACATTCAAATCTTCCAAAACCCATAAACTCTACAAATATTCCAGAATTCAATTTAGATGAATATAAATCTAGAATTTCACAGAAAAGCTGTGTATTATTTGATGAATCAGATATTATTTGATGAATTAGATCGACATTTATAATAATCTGCCAATGATAATATTGAGAAATCAGTGAATATAGAGAAGACAAAGTTAAGTAACTGCGTTAATACTGATATTATTTGGTTGAACCTAGTTTTTTTAGAAAAATAAACTTGATATAAATTTTCTTTTCATTATAAAAATTACTTTCTTATTATTTATATCCCTTATGATTGCTTTCAAGAGCTAAACTCAATAATAAGTCTAGTCTCTCCCAGGTGTAATTATATAAAAGTTCCAGCATAACTACTGTTCTGATCGAGAGTGCAGCCACATGTTATTTCAACCTTACAACTTTGGAAATTTTCAAAAAAAATTTTCACCCTTTATTTTTCGCCTTTTATTAATCCATTTTCTTTATTATTATCTTTATTATTATTATTATTGAATATTAAGTTGTTTTTTTTTTGAAAGTAAAAGCTTTTCTTATTGCTTCCACTACTATTGGTTAAAATAAATAGATAAACATATTATAAAGATACTAAATAATAATCGTGAACAGATTTAAAATGAATTGTAAAATTTGGAATAAATTGTACAAATGATATCGAATATCGAATATACAAATATCTACACTTTCCAAATTCAACTAATATAAATTTAAAATTATGTCCAGAATTTGCCATAGTAAATTTCGACAGTAATTAGATTTATAACGAACTGATTTCATGACCAGTTTAACACAAATACTGTAAATAATTCAAGCTAAGTTATAAGAGATTGTAGAGTTCTAAAATATACTCACTAGTAAATAATGGAAAGAACCAGTCTGCCCAAATATAGCTCACTCTTGCTATAGTGAATTTTGATATTATAAAGTGAGTGTGTTGTAATTATTTTTTATTGTGTTTCTTTATTACTGCATATGAGGCCACTTTTATTTTTTTGTCAAAAAATGAAAAACAGACGAATAGAAAAGAAAAATGATCATATATAGTTAGCTTTTCTATAATGAATTAGAGTAACTGTATGACTCAGTCACGCTAAAATCAGGAATGTATATAAATTTATCTTAAAATTAAAAATTTCAGAAATAGAACTTATTTGCATTATTATGTATTATAATTAAGATTAGTGCTCGGCACAATCAAACAAAAATTTGACAGTCAAATACTTGTTAATACTTGTGATTAAGTCGGACATCAAATGATTGCAGATTAACCAATAGTATATATTTAGCTTTGGTTAATCTGCAATCGTTTGACATCCAATTTATTAACAAATATTTGACTGTCAAATATTTGTATGGTTGTGCCGAGCACTAACCCTATGAGAAAAGTGGTCCGGTTTGTGGCTCGAGTTGGTTTCGGGAATGCACGAAATGGTACGGGTGTGTGGCAAGTAGTGGCTCATTTTACGTGATGGTACGGCTAAAAATGGCACGGACATTACGACAAAGTGGTCGTATTGAATGATACGTATATGCACGTCCCTCAAGAGCGAATGGTTTTTTATGAAAAAAAAAAATGCAATATCTCAAAATTTCACTGATTAAATCGTTCTGGGTATCTTAACGAAAAATATTTCTTGCAGAATTTTACACATATGCAATTACTTTAATATTGATGATAATTGAAGTAAATTATGTTTTAATATGTATATTTGTTTATTATGATGGTACGTGAATTTACGTATGTCCATGCCAAAACCCGTACCAATTGGATTAGTAAAGTGTTGCAAAACCCGAGTCATTAACGGTCCAATTGGCACTGTATACGGTCCAACACGAGCCAAAAATCCGTGACACTTCGAGCCACTTACGTACAAAATCCGGTTTGATCCGTGCCATCGAAACCCGTGCCATTCCGAGCCAACCCATACAATTACAGTCCATTTTTCTTATAGGGTTAGTACTATAAAAGTCTAATTTATATCTGTTATTTCTTGCTAAGGTTTATCGGTTGATAAGCGCAGTTTTATCGACACACCATACATGTTAGACAAGCATTCGAACGAAAATTTAATAATGTTGACATTATCGTTATAATGATCGGTATGATACAAAATAGCACAGATCATGCCAAAATCACAAACTAATCGAATCGGCCGAAAAATCATTCGACCAATTTTTATCAGGTGTTCCAGGAATTATGAAAACAGTTGTAACCAATTACAGCTATTTTCATAATTTCTGGAACACCTGCTCATTACCCGAAATCTTTTTGGTCGTTCGGCAAATTACCTAACTCTCCGGAAAATACATCACTGCCTCTGGACTGAAGGTCTGAAGACAGCGATGTAGTTTCCGGAGAGTTAGATAATTTACCGAATGACCAAAAAGATTTCGGGTAATGAGCAGGTGTTCCAGAAATTATGAAAATAGCTGTAAATATTTCTGGCCCGCGGGCTATATGAGCAGTAGGGATGTTAAGTGGTCCGCAGGGGGTGAGGTCCGGGCCGGTTCTGGACTGGACTTTTTAGAGACCGTCCAAAACCAGTCTGAAACTAGTCCAAATAATCACATGGTATGAACAGATTGCCGTTTTTGACATCTCAAATGGAATTTATATAGAATGAATCAAAAACGATGCTTTTATATCGCTGAAATTTAAATGAGTCTAACTTAATTAGGCGATTAATAATGTTTTATTAGATAATTATTAGTTAATGCATATGGCGATTTTTTTATAGCCTCTGTTTTCTTTCTGTTCTTTAATCAATAATGAGATAGTGGGATTACTACATCAGACTTTAATTTGTTAGTCTGAAATTTTCTCTAAACATAATTACGAACGAAAATTGCTCATCTCCACTTGCAACAATAACAATGGGAATTAGTGCATAAAAGGATGAACAAGAACTCAAAAATCTGCAAATGCGGGTGAAAACTTTAAAATAAGCCCAAATACTAAAATAATAACCCGAGTACTAATATAATAGTATGATGACAATTGTCATGGTACAAAAGAATAAATGTCTAGCATTCATTTTCTTATAAAAATTTGTCTTTCTTTAGTTTCTTTTTTTATTGATAATTGTATGAACTAAACTGTGACATAATTACATCGAGCTATAACATTACTAGTTTGAATTTTTTTCTGATAATTGTCCTTTATTCATAATTAAAAAAAAAAATAAAAGAAAACAAAAGAAAATAAAAATAAAAATAAATAAATAAATAAATAAATTAAAAAATTAAAAAAATTTATACTTGTAATCATTGCTAATAAACAATTATAATCTCATCAAATCAAAGTACATTCAGTTAAACACTTCCTCCTTTATCCTCTTATTGAAAATTGTTTTTTTTTGTCAATAATTGTTTTTTTTTATCAAAAATGTGGTGTATTTTGTTCACAAGTTTTTTTTTTACTTTTATATTTGTATATATAAAGGCATTGAAGGCATCGCTATGTATTACAATTCTCAACAAAAAATTAGAACCCTCACAAATCACATTAGTATCATGTTATTTAATAACAACTCTGAATCTTCACAAAACCCTACACCTACCTCTTCCTTTCCGGATATAAATTTTTTAAATGTTGCTCGGCATAATGAGGCGAATACTGAAAGACCAGATGAACAAAGCATCAAACAATGCAAAAATGTATACCCTCCTTGGGCCTATTTTTTAGCTTCTTCGGATGAATAATTGATTCAATGCAAACTATGCAAGCCTCCAAATAGAACATATAGAAAAGGTTCTGGCATTAGTATTATTAAATATCATTTCAAAAGCAATCACAAAGCAGAATACCAGAAATATTGATCTGATTCACAGGAAGTGGAGCCTTACAGTGTTCATGATGAAGAGAAAGTAAGGAAGTTAAACAAACTTCTTGTTCATTAGATTATATGAAATCAGCAAGCATTTTGTGTCATTGAGGATAAGGACTTTTGAATCTTTATTTTCAAACTCATCCTCATTACAAATTATCTACAAGACAGACAGTTTCAACTTATATTAGGATGTTATATAAACGTGAACAAGAGCAGCTGCATAGTTATTTTAGAAAATTCAATCATAAGGTTTCAATAACCATGGATGTATAGTCATCATGTACCAACCAAGTATTTCTATCAGTTACTTTATATTGGATTGATGACCAATAGCAGATGCAACATATACTTTTGGATTTCATTCCACTCCATAAAAGGCACACAGGTTACTTTCTGGCAAAAACACTTTTTAATTTAATTGAAGACTTTAGTTTAGAAAAAAAAATTCTGTCAATAACTGCCAATAATGCTAGCAATATGGATGTTTGTGATCAACACCTTACAAGTATATTGAGCTTCCATTATAAAAATACTACTTGTCATTGATTGAGGTGTACTATGCATAGACTTAATCTTGCCATTGTAAATGGGCTTTCTAAAATTGATAAATCAACAAAGAAGGCTTAAGAGTTTGCAAGTACTATTTGCTATTCCCAACCACATTTAGAAGAATTAAAAAAAATCTTTGTAATGAAAAACAAACTGTTCCTTGTACCCAATCTTGATTGCAAAATTCATTGTATTTGATGTTGAACAAGTTATGTAGAATTCAGAAAATGACAAATATATTAGTAGTTTTGGTGCCAAAACTTAAAGGTTCATATATGACAAATCAAGATTGGGTTAATATTAATACTGTAATAACACTGCTAGAACCAATCTATAAAGCTATCAAACTACTTTCCTCATCAAGCCATCCAACTATCAGGATATACGTATAGTCTTTTTTGTGATTATGATGAATTTAACTGATGCTGAGGATGAAACAGATTCAGTAAAATCATGAATTGCCAAAAAAATTCTTGAAAAACTCAATAAATATTGAATCGAACTCAGTTAATGACCAAAGTTGTAGTTTGGTAAATTGATCACCAAAGTTACTATACAAATATCCTTCCCATGGTACAGGTATTCGTTCTACTTTTTTCATTATCCAGCCAATGGCCTCAAGTTGACATATTAAAGAGGCAGATATCTGGCTAGGGAAATATAATAAATACATTGCATGGTTTGGATGATGCTTTTTTATAGTATAACCTAACAATAAAGAACCTCTAAAGTAATTTTCTGTATATAATGTGCTTATGAAGACTTCATTTAGTTCTGGATCAGTAGAAGGGTTATAAGTACTTTTTCCATATTTTATTCCGCAGCTAACTGAATCATGGCATGCATATGTACCATCATAAAGTGACGAATTATGGTTAGGTTCACTATAACGAAATATTGATTCATTGTAGCGAATTATAAACAAAATACTAATAAGAATTAAAATTAAAGTAAAAAGTAAAAGGTTTACAGTATAAGGGCGATAGAATCGAAACATTTTAAAAAATCTTTTTTTGTCGTCTCATTGAAGCACTTCTTATTAAAAGCTGAAGATATAGAAGATTGTACATCATATACATATATGTTTGTTAAATTTTAGAGGACAAAGATCACCAAGCAAGTCAGGAATAGTCTTAAACGGAAAGTATTTTTTATATTTAATTTGTAAATCTATCGTTTTTACGATTAGTAATCAACTAAAAATCATCTAACTTTGGCATTAAATGATCTCTAAATCGAGAAATTTATTTGTGTAGATCTTATACATAACATCTATGACCATACACATGCAAATGCCAAGCGCACTTATCTGGTTAGTGCCTGAATTCGAAAGCGTTTATCAATATATAAGGTATCGATATGGTGATTCGGTCAATGACAATATTGTTTGGCCTGTCGATCGGAACGTACGTAGTGTTCAAACGGACCAGACCGGACCGGTCCTGCTCATTAGGGATGTTAAAAAGTCCGTCTGGTCCGGTCCTGGTCCAGTCCTTAAAAAGCCCGGTCCTGAACTAGTTAGGAACTAGTTCATGACCCCTGCCTGAATCCGGTCCAGCCCTGGCAGTTTAATATACAATACATAATACAGTAATATATAACAACGGTAATTTTATACTTATACTTTTACATTTTTTTTTTTTTTTATTACAAAATTTCTTTTAAAAAAAGTCGCGTTTACGATACTAAACTTTTATTTAAAAATACTTCAAATCACTTTTAGCTATTCCTGAATCATACCACGTCTTTAAACACATACTTGCGCGTGCTTTTTTGTCATCCAAGCAGTTTCGTACTGCACTTAAAGTATGTTTAGCGACCGAGAAAGCCTCTTCGCTTGGCACACTGGTTGCCTGTGCGATGAGGTAATCACGAGCCATGTTGATGAGAGGTAACCATTGTAAGTTTAAAG